CTTTTTGGATTCAGCTGAAGTATCCCCTTCCCCGTAAAGAGTTGCACGTATACCCTCCCTTCCTGCAGAATTGCACCCTCTCAGCCCTGTGTCCCATGTACGGATGAGTATCTCTGCCATGTGCCACACGTCTGCCTCCGCCCCTCATCTGGAAGGGGATATAGGAGAGGACCGCAACATCTCTTTCCTCTTTGTTTCTCGACCCAGAATTAAGGACAGAGGTAGGCACAGAATAAATGAGTACTAGTTCTCTGTGCACGCTTTGCTTCCCTGCAAATACCACGTCGACCACCAGCAGTGCGGCGTTTGCCCCCAGGAGATGTTCGATTGGAAATGAAACGAGTGACTAGCTTTCCCTCTGGATGTTCCTGCGTCCTGAGGCTGCCGCCAGCCTAACAAAGGGACTGCCCGTCTCTTGCCCTGGCACCGAGGAACCAGGATCATATGGCTGAGAGCTCGGCTCCATGGCCCCCCAGAGCCAGGGTAATAAAATTCAGACCGTGGTTGTGGAGACTGCTAGGATACAATCCGCAGAGGGAAAGCAGCTTACGAAGACCTCCTACAATTAAGCAGAACGGGGAGTTCCCAGGTTTCGGACATCATAGATGCCTCCTTATAAATGCCCCGTGTGGCACTTTGTGAATTTCCAAGCCCACATTTGCTTCCCATCCTCGGTCTCATTGACTTAAAATAGAATGTCTAGTCAGTGACCCAGAAGGCATGAGACTTCAGACAGAGAAATACATAATAATAACTCGCTTTTTGTGTCATATTTCATTGGTTAAACTTTGCCTCCAGTACATTCTTTGAAAGTAATAGGTATTACCTAGTTTCTGGTTTCCTCTCTACTTTTGAGAGAACAGCAAGGCAGAAGCCGGCAGTGAAGGGCAAAGGGCTTTTAAAGCAGGCATTGGAGATGCGTCCATACGAACACCTTTGTTCAGGCTCCATGGGGGCCGTGCCTGCTCTGAAAGCATTTGCCCAACTTGACTTTGTTAGCAGTGGTTTGGGGAGTCCTAGGCTTCTCCCGGGTGGGGGCCTTTCATTTGGGGACGGCTTTCAACTTCAGAAGAGCTTTGCTGGAGCTCGGGTCACGGTCCTCACAGGCAAAGACCTGTTTTCTAATTCAAAATGCAGATTTAACATTCCACACGGAAGATCATTGGAGTGCTGTCAGAAAAGGCTTCTGGGGCGCCTGGGTGGCTCAGCCGGTTAAGCAGCTGTCTTAGGCTCAGGTCATGATCTCACAGTTTTTGAGTTTGAGCCCTGCACTAGGCTCAAAAATTTAAAAAAGGAAAAAATTAAAAAATTTTTTAGATTAAGGAAAGGGCGTTCGAGGGGCGCCTGGGTGGCTTAGTCGGTTAAGCGTCCAACTTTCGCTTAGGTCATGATCTCGCGGTTCGTGGGTTCGAGCCCCGCGTCGGGCTCTATGCTGACCGCCAGCTCAGAGCCTGGAGCCTGTTTCAGTCTGTGACTCCCACTCTCTCTGACCCTCCCCTGCTCGCTCGCTCTCTCTCTCTCTCTCTCTCCTAGAAATAAATAAAATATTAAAAAAAAAAAGAAAAGGGCGTTCGATCAGCCACAGCGTTCAATCTGCTGTTGAGGAAGCGGGGCCTCACTGTGGGATCTGACCTGCCTCTTCCACATCCCAGCCTACTGTCCGGATAACCCGCCTTCTCACATCATCCTGAGATGATACCGTGTTCCCAGTGTTGGAGTGAATTCGTTTTTTAGCAGATTTTCAACAGAAAATGGTTAGATAAGGAAATAGAAACTGAGGGACTCTTTGGAAGATTTTTTTTAAACGGAAGTGTTACACAGCCCTCAAACCCAGCAATTAAAGAAAAACCAGCTGTACTAGCTTCCCAGGGACCAGACCCTTAAAATCTTTGCAACAGAGAAAATTACTTGGGGGGGAAATAGATGTAAATATCTAAGGAAGCTCTTCAAATCTGAAAAACTGGGAAGATTGAAAGGCACTACAATCTCATGAGGACTTTACTACATTAATTTTGAGTAGTCCAAACAAAGCTAACCTCAGCCAGTACCCCTCAACTCTCTTGGGTGCCAAATAAATAATTCTGTGGATGATTTTTGTTTGTTTTTTATTTAACATTTATTTATTTATTTTAATGTTTTATTTATTTCTAGGAGAGAGAGAGAGAGAGACAGCGTGAGCAGGGGAGGGTCAGAGAGAGAGGGAGATACAGACTCCGAAACAGGCTCCAGGCTCTGAGCTGGCGGTCAGCACAGAGCCCGACGCAGGGCTCGAACCCACGAACCACGAGATCATGACCTAAGCGAAAGTCGGACGCTTAACCGACTAAGCCACCCAGGCACCCCTACATTTATTTATTTTTAAGAGACAGAGCATGAACAGAGGAGGGGCAGAGAGAGGGAGACACAGAATCCGAAGGAGGCTCCAGTCTCTGAGCTGCCATGGGGCTTGAACTCACAAACCGCAAGATCATGACCTGAGCCAAAGTCGATGCTAAACCGACTGAGCCACCCAGGTGCCCCTGTGGATGATTTTTTTAAGGCACATAGGGCTGGTTTCTTGCCTCCGGGGCTGTGTGGTTAGGGGGTCCTTTACGTGAGCCCTCAGCCTGCACCCACCCTCTTGGCTTCCCTGTACAGTGGCTGATGCTTCCTGGTCCTCACTTCCCTGCCCAGAATTAGGAATGTGGGCATGGAAATCAACTCCAGGCCTCACAAGAATAGCCTCAGCGTAATTAAAACCGCATTTTGCCACATCGTCGTCCAGATCATTTGGCACTCCCCTCCCCCCTCCCCCATGTTTTCCTATAATTGAGACTTTCTGGAAAAGATTTATTTAGTTTTATGATTTCACAGAATGCTCATTGAAGTCCTGTTGTACGTGAACATGCCCCCGCCCCTACTCAGCATGACCGGTTTTGTGGAACATTCTCCCCTTCCATGCAGAGGTACTGCGCTGATGTTTCTATCTCAGTTTCCCCACGGGGGCCAGTTGGAAGAGATCAGAAGCAGATTGAGCTATCACTGATGCCACTCTGCTTCCTTTGCCGGGGACGTGCCTCCCCTCACACGGCCACACTTCCTCAGAGGACAGATCATCACGTGGGTTCTGTCGTAGGCTTCCTGTCAGGCTTTGCCAGCAAACGATGACGCGATGTATCTTGCTCTCAGAGGAACTGTCGCTACAGGTCTCTTCAGCGTCCCTGTGGCTTGCCTGAAGGTGCCCTTCATCTGTCAGGATTTCAGGAGCACACAGAGACGTCTGGGTACCGGCTTGGGGGGGGGGGTGGTGTTCCAGCACCCGTTTGAGTCCCATCCTTGCCTGCTGGCTTGATTTTTTTGGCCAGCCAATCGGCCAGTGTTGGCGGAGCACATGCTGTGTCCGGCCGTCACCTGGGGCTCCCTGTTCCCGTCCAGCAAGACCTACCTGTGCCACCACTGGAGGCAGTAACACCTGATGGGGACCATATGTCCCAAAGCTATGTTTCTAACCCTTATTTTCAAACCTATCATTCAATAAAGGATTTTTGAACTGTTTCAAGAGCAGCCACGGTCATATTATTCAGAGGCTGAAATTTCTCTGAATTTTCAGTGGCCTGTGGATTAAATCAGAAAAACATACTTGAAATCTGGACTAGAGAAATACAGGTGGTGTGGCTTTTGGTCTTCAGTCCCAACTGCCACTTTAAAAATACCTCTTTTCAGGGTGCCTGGGTGGCTTACTCGCTAAGCATCTGACTTTAGCTCAGGTCATGAGCTCAAGGTACATGAGTTCAAGTACCACGTGGGGTGAGTTCAGACCCCACTTGGGATGAGCACAAGGCCCGCTTTGGGTAAAACATGAGCCCTGCTTTGGGTGAGCCCTGCTTCTCTCTCTCTCTCTCACTCCCTCCCTCCCCATCCTCACCCCCCTCTGCCTCTAGCTCACTTGCACTCTCTCTCTCTCTCTCTCTCTCTCTCTCTCAAGTGAAAAAAAATGAAAAAGAAGTAAAAACAAAAATACCAGTCAGTTAAACATCCAGCTTCAGCTCAGGTCATGATCTCACGGTTCATGGGTTTGAGCCCCATATTAGGCTCTGTGCTGACAGCTCAGAGCCTGGAGCCTGCTTTGGATTCTGTGTCTCCCTCTCTCTCTGCCCATCCTCCCTGCAAAAAGTAAACATTTAAAATCTTTTAATAAAAAAATACCTGTTTTCATTTTTCCTTTTCCATTCAAGTCATCTTGGGCAGGTGGTTTTATAAGATAATTAGTACCCAAAGTCTTTGCCAGTAAAAATTTTAAAGCCACAGACTTGGGTGTGTATCTCCATTAGCTTTATTCATTTAGGGCTCGAGGATTGCTATTCATCCGTTGCTGTGTTGAGACACTGGCCTAAGGAGGGACAAAATGGCAGAGCTATAAAAGGTTCCTTTGAAAACATGGTGGGAGGAGGGCTTGGGTGGCTCAGTCACTTAATCATCTGGTCATAATGTCACAGTTCATGAGTTCAAGCCCTGTGTCAGGCTGTGTGCTGACAGCTCAGAGCCTGGAGCCTGCTTTGGATTCTGTGTCTCCCTCTCTCTCTGCTCCTGCCCCACTCATGCTCTGTCTCTCTCCCTCCCTCTCAAAAATAAATAAATACAAACCAACCAAGAAAACATGGTGGGAATTTAAAAGGGCTCAAGGGGCACCTGGGTACCTCAGGCAGTTGAGTGTCTGACTCTTGATTTGGGCTCAGTTCATGATCCCAGGGTCATGGGATCAAACCCCGCATCAGGCTCTGTGTAAGATTCTCTCTGTCTCTCTCTGCCCCTCCCCCCTTTCTAAAATTAAAAAAATAAATAAAAATAAAAAGCTCAAAAATGCAGGCCTTTTATGGACCATTGGCAACTTCTCTGCGAGGAAGTTTTGTCACTGTGGAGGTGTGTGTGCAGTTGTGTGGGGCTTTCTCCTCTGGCCCCCACCCCACCAGGTGTTCACGAGCCCCCGATTCTCACTGTGTCTTTCCCTTGCTGTGTTCCAGTCCCCGTCTCCTGGCAGCTCCTCTCCCCTGGGCGCAGAGTCTTCGAGCACACCCCTTCACCCCAGCGACCCAGCGGAGGCCTCCTCAAATAAAGAGGTAGGGTGCTGTTTTGTTCCAGAAGCCACCGGCCCATGTGTTGTTTGATTCTTCTTCTCTTGTGAGCTTTCTTCAGCTCCCTGCACAAATCCCCCAAGTCCCCCTCGAGGGAGAGAAGTGCTGATTCCTCCTCTCCAGGAGTTCAGTGATTGAAGCCACGCCCTCCAGCCCAAGAGCCACAGGCCAAGAGTGTCTGTTTTGATTGATAAATAAAATGGAAGTGCACCTTCTCAGGCATGCCAGCCACAGTTCAGGTGCTCAGTGGCCACATCTAAGTTGTAGCTGTTGCGTTGGACAGGGAAGATGACAGAGCATTTCCAACATTCCAGAAAGTTCCCCGGGACAGTGCCAGAAACTGGATATCAAGAACTCTGTGTAGCAGCAGCCTTCCTCAGGGTATTACGAACCACAGTTTGGGAAATGGGCCAGTTTTGTAAATACCCATTTGTTACAGGCCACGTGAGATATTTTTCATGACAGCAGGGTGACTGCTCATCCTGGTTTACCTGGGGTGGTTTGCAGTTCACACCTGCTTTCCAGTTCACACCTGCTTTCCAGTTCACACCTGCTTTCCAGTTCACACCTGCTTTCCAGTTCACACCTGTTGTGCAAGCAGTGCAGCTAGTGAGCGTCATTCTCCCTTTTTTATATATATTTTTTAACGTTTATTCATTTTTGAGAAAGAGTGTGAGTGGGGAAGAGCCAGAGAGAGAGAGGGAGACACAGAATCTGAAGCAGGCTCCAGGCTCCAAGCTGTCAGCACAGAACTGACATGGCGCTCGAACTCACAAACCACAAGATCATGACCTGAACCGAAATCAGAGGCTTAACCAACCGAGCCACCCAGGCGCCCCTCCACTCTCCCTTTCTGAAGCAGTGCTATCCAAGAGAACTTTCTGTAATGATGGAAATAGTCTGCTTCTCTGCTGTCTTACACGGTGGTCCCTAGTCATGTGAAATGTGGCTCTTGGGACTGAGGAACTGAATTTTGCATTTTATTCCATTTAATTATAGTCATGTGTGGCTCAGGACTCCTAGAGAGCACAGGCTGGAAGTGCCCCTCTCACACAGTAAGTCATATGGCTGCCTTACTAATGGAGCCCAGACAGAGCCCCAGCAGAGGCTATTTAAGTGAGAAAATGCTGCTCACTCCCAAGCAGGGTGTCAAGGGGCAGGTTTTCCTCCTGGAGGGAGCCCCTGCCTTTTCGTTTTCCCACACTGTTGTCCTTTCACCCCCAGCCAAAGGCCACCCCAGCTGTTTATGAAGCGGGCCCGTGCCGTGGGCTACAGGTGGGTTCAGCTCACTCCAGCCCAGCCAGTGCTGAGGCTGTGCACGAGACAGGTAAACCATATAATGAATGGTTGTGTCACTTTCCTTCCTTTTGTTAAGAATATGACATTACGTGGAACAGAAGAAAGCAGTTTCCAGGGCGCCTCGGTGGCTCAGGAGGTTAAGCATCTGACTCAGTTTCAGCTCAGGTCATGATCTCGCAGTTCATGAGTTCGAGCCCCGCATCGGGCTCCACACTGACAGTGTGGACCCTGCCTTGGATTCTCTGCCCCTCCTCTGCTCTCTCTGTCTCTGAAAATAAATCAACTTTTAAAAAGTTAAAAAAAAAAAAAAGAAGAAAAAGAAGAAGAAGTTTCCCTTTTGCTGTGAGTGGCGGATCACTTCTAAAGGGAGTCTTCATTAAAATTTGCCCTTGAAGCATCACTGAATATACATACATTTGCCATTAACTATTCACGCAGAGAAAGGTAGACTTTTGAATCACCTGTGTATATTAACCCAAACGAATGTAAGGAGACCTTCTCTGAAATGACACCAGCGTTAGAAATTAAATTTCAACTATGCTTTGTCCTTGTCCTCAGACCCTAGGTCACGGGACCAGGGGGAACAAGCTGTTTGTGCGGACGCTGGGTCCCACTGCTCTGCCTTATCATTTGTTCATAATACAGGGATAGGCGAGAACAAGCAGTAAGAAGAAGAGAATCAAGGCCACAGTGATAATAACTAAGCAAGAGTGAGTGTTTCTCAAGCATTTACAGTGTTCAGGCATCGGGCCAAGCACATCATAGTCTCCCTTCCTCCTTACAGTAATTCTGTGGGTGTAGGAAGCACTGTCCTCACGTTTTGATGGAAGCAACAGAGAAGTGCAGTAACTTACCTGAGGTCCAGGGCCCAGGGCAGGGCAGGATTTGAATCCAGAACTCAGGGATTCATGTAGGGTCTTCATGCCAGGGTCTGCTGCCCTCGGGTGAAAAGTGCCTACAGGCCTCACACTGCGTGGACAAGGTAACGTGTATGTCATTGTTCCAAGTGTCAGGCCCCCTGGCTTTGCACATAGTTTAGTGTGTTGTCGTAGAAAATCCCAAGGATTTTGGCCTTTCATCTTCTTGAATGTGGCGTTATTAATTCTTGGATGTTAAGGATCAACTCATGTTGATCTCTGTCCACATGTGAGAAGACAAAGGGCTAATCAGGCATCTGAATATTCAGCTTTTGATCATTCATCAGATATAATAAGCAAGGCAAACGTGTTAGTTTCTCGATTCCTACAGGACTTGGCACGTGTTTCTGCAGATCCTTAGAAATAATGATGAAAATCCTCTTTGTGTGCAAAAATTAGAGATTCTTTCATTTCTCAAAACATTTTTTTTTAAATCTTACTGCCCCAGAGACTAAAGAAAGCCAGTCGTGAGCTTATGAATACAGCATAAGTAAATGTACCAAACGCCCTCCGTTGTGGCTCTAAATAAAAACCGCAGCTTTTAGAACTATTGACTAAAGTAATTCTTTCGTAGCTTCTGCTAAAACCCAGGGACTGTCCTTGAGATGAACATTCAGAAAAGTATCCTAATAGCCCAAGAAAATCTGAACTGGTTTCTTGGATGTACATGGAGGTACATTTTGATGAAACAAAGTAAACCCTCTCTACCCCAGGCCCCTTGCTGCTAAGGGCAAGGACATGGACGGCAGTTGGAAAATACTAATTTTAAGATCTTTAGTCTTTATGAGGAAACTGGCTTCCACCTGCAACCATGAAGTTACTTTTTTATTTTTTAACCGGAGTTAGACCTGGCTATTGACACTCGACTGGGCCTTTCTTCCCACTTGGATCAATGGAAAAGTAAACCCAATGTAAATCACTGTTGAAGTTGACGTTGGAGCTCTCTTTCCTCCTGTCCACATATCTTAGCTTTCCTTGGGGTGCAGTTTTCCATAAATGCACTAGGAGCCAATGACCTTTCCTTCCCAGTGGACTTGTATCTTTAGTTTCCTTCGGGGTAATCCCTTCTGAAATAAGAAACCCACCATTTCGGTGTGATGAACCATTTCATCCCAGCGGGCACATTCCGGAAGGTTTACTGACACGTTGCCTTGTGTGGTTTGTTGTGTGATTTCGTGTTGAATTCTTGTCATTGTCCCAAATTGAGGTAGTCTTAAATCTGGGGGTCTTTGCCTCCAGTTTTTCTTCTAGAACAGTTAACACTGCTATTTTTAGAATGTTGTACAGATGGTAATTAGTTAGTCATCCCTTTGCTGTCCTCCTCTTCCAAGCGAAGAGCACGGTACAAAGTACTACAAGATGGAGCCGTACCCCCAATGTCCCGTCTTTTGGGCCCTAACTCTCCCACCTGCCAGGCACCCCCCAGAGTTTACCATCCACCTCGGTCAACCTGTTGAGCAGCTGTGCTATCCTAGGTACCCTTTTCCTAAAACATACATATTGAAATGACATACCTGCTAGATTCTTAGCAATGAAAAACCATAGGCTTTCTGAGGATAGCCCTGGGCCATGCAGAGCCTCCTTTTTGCTCGTTTGAAAGACTCTTGTTTTTGACAGTAGCTCTCCACTCGCCTGCAATGCTCACATCACCCTGCCCCAGACATACCAGCTACAAATTCTGTGGAATGCGGGAATGAATTTCCTGCACTTATGCCCCTCAGAGTTCTCTGTGCCACTCACTTACGGGAGGAACCACATGGTAAGTATTGCTCCTCGGCGAGCTAGCATTTAAACTGCCATTCAATCAGGTTCTAGAAGGTTTTTAGCTGATCGTGCGCACATCCCAACGATGCTATTGGAAGACCGACCCTTGCTGTGTTACTTAGTATAAGAAATTCCACCGCTTTCAATTCACTTCTTTGATTATGTTCTTACGTTAAGGTAACATAAACTAATTACTTACATAATGGAATTTTTAAACCAATAAGAGATGAAAGGAGGAGAGGAAAACTCTGGCAAACATTTTTAGTGCAGTGAGAGACTACTGAAGCAAAGACCTAAAGGGAAATAAAATTCTCCAGGGAAATTCTTGATTTCAACATATAGTTGCATTGTTGATGCTTTTACTCATCTAGCAGTTTTTCACTTAGAAACCCAGATTCTTAAGAGTGCAAATTGAGCTCTTTGTATTGCTGTTGCTCATTATGGACTTTGGTCTGTGGGATATTTTTTAAGCTGATGGACATCCTCTAATTGTGGAATGTAAGATTTTCAGGTTACCTAAAATATGAATGGATATTCTGGGCTCTGGGTAACCTCTAATAAGAAGTGTGTGTCTGTCTGCACCTTTCTTTCTGTAATAACCAAAAATGGTTGACACCGATTAATATCTGTCATTGGTGATCTATTTATTTTTCATGTTGCACAGATAACGTGTTAGTGCATTTTTCATCATGCTTTGCCCTTTCTGAAACCTCTTTGTCTTGATTACAGTCAAGAAAAAGCTTGGCTTCATTCCCAACCTACGTTGAAGGTAAGAGCTGAAAAGGAAATAATTGAGTACTGAGTCATGCATGAATATTCTAGCACTTTGGGCATTTGAAGCATGGGGCTGTAAGACCATAGTGGGGAAGAAAGGCTTATTAATAGTCTTAATGATCATAGAATTTTAAATTAAAAGAAAACAGCGGTGAGCCTGTCGAAGATTCCCCCACCCTACCCCCCCACCTTTGCCGATTCTGTCCCTGAGGACCTGAGGGAGGTTGCATGGAGGCAGAGAGCTGTCTCCAGCTTAGAAATGGGCATATTACATCTAAATCCAACTCTCCTCCCCTCCAGTCCAGGATACCTCTTGTATCCATTAAGGACCATTCAAGCGGGAATGAACTTTAAAGGTGACTTTTGGTCCTGTAAATTTAGAGGGAAGAAAAAAACATCTTTCCAATAATTCCCATCTCTTGCTTGGATGAGTAAGCGTAGTAACATTTATCCAGCTTTTACTCTGTGCCAGATACACAGTTTTCATGTAATAACTAATTGAATCCTCACATCTATCTCGTGAAGTGGGCTTACCACCCCAATGTTAAGCAGGAAAGAACTGAGACATTTTTACTCAAGACGAGGTGAGTGCCTTTCCCAAAATCACACAGTTAGCAAGCTTCAGAGCCAGGCCGTGAGCTGGCAGTCTGATTCCACAGCTGTCCCGATAAATGGCATTCTGTGCAGGGTGGCTACGTATGGTTGTGCAGGTTTCTCACTGCTCAAGGGCACCCAGTCAGGAGGCCTAGCGGGGCCAGAACTTGGCCCATGTGAGACAGCCCCACTTGATGTCAGGCCATACAAACAAAATGCCTGTTCCTCATCCTCACAAAGGCCCTCGTTAGCTAGAGGTGCCACTGACCCTCTACCAGAGAGGATGGCAGATGGTTTTTCAGGTAGGATAGGTTGGCATTTCCTTGAAAGAGGATTTTCTGGGGACTGTGAGGCTCTGTCTGGCCCTTGGATCCCGTGAATGAACAGTCAGGGGATAATGAATTACCACGATTCATAGACCTTTACGACCCGCAGGCCTGCAGCCTAGGTCAAGCTCATGGGCTTGCTTCCGTTACTCAGGTTTCTTTCTTGAGTAGCCTGTAAATTATTTGTGCCATTTTGGTGAGGCCCCAGAACTCCATGAGCACTCTTCAGGGAGTTTTTGGAAGTTTGGAAATTCCACTTTTCCTCAGCGACACCCCTCCAGATGCAGCATCACGAAGGTGTGAGGACGTAACACGGAAGCAACGCAGAGGCCTCACTCAAAGGACAGACACATTCGAAAAGGCTGAAACGAAACCTGCAGTTCTTTGGCTTGGGACCAGCATGATGTGGAATTTTCTAACTTTTAAAAAAAGTATTCTAAAATGAAATTACGAACATGGGGCTTTTTCCCGAGGCATGATCTAGCAGCGGTGACATTTGATTACCCTCAATATCTCTGGAGGATAAATGTCGTCAGATCGCATCTCAAACGTATAATTTATTTAGGTCCAGCGTATCTGTCCCTTGGCTGGTTGGCATTTATGTAGTCCTTTGAGTATTATTCGGATTGCTCTTAAACCTACCTGCATATCCACAGTTACCGTGGTTGACAAGAGACCCTTTTCAGGAAATAAGCTAACTCAGACATGAACATATAATCCTGGAAGTCCCATAGAGAAGTATGTGGTTAATTTTTTTTATCTTTCTTTTAACATTCATTATGTTCACAAAGCAAATGGAAGGTTTTTAAAAGTTACTATCCCAGATGAGATCTCTCTTCTCAGTGCCCAGTTGGGCAAATGTGGTTATGTTTAAGTGAACACTGTAAACCTGTCACGGGAATTTCTGATAGGAGACTGATAATCTCTTACTTTTTACAAAATGTAATGTAGGTTCCAGACCGTTTGTGTGTTATTTTAGTTAGAACAGTGCTTCCCTGCTGTATAGCTAAAACCATATGTTGTAAATACTCTGAATCCTTCTCACCTCTGTGAGAAAGTTTCAGTGCAAGAATCATGTGACTTTTGAGAAGAAGGTGAATTACTCGCACATAGCTGAGGCAGGTTTGGCTGATTCTCTTTGTTTGTCCAGAAGCCTTTCTCGGAAAGATCGAGAATAAGGCAAACAATGGGTTTCCTTGCTTACTGACTACGCACATGCTTTGTGAAGGCCTTTCCTAAAACACTGTTCATTTCTTTATTTCAGCCACCACCTTGGCTTTAGAAAAATGACCAGATTGTTTTAAGACTGAACTCTGTTAAGGTGCTTATCGTGGGAAGCAGCTGGTTAAGCCCAAGATGGGCTCGATGTTGAGGGATAAAAATAAAAATCATTTCAGACTAGCTCCCCGAAAGGAAAAAGCAAATTGTTTCCCTTGCCAGTTATCTAATTTAAGAGCCTGAGGTTTTAACAGTTGGTTAAAAATGTAGATTTTAATCTCCCCAAATATGGCACTCAAGCCAAAGAAAATACATATGCTTTTCATTGCAGAATTAAAATGCCCTTCTTTGTGCATCTATTCTCAAGTCATATATTAGTCCCAGACATGATTTAATCACAAGTAGAGTTTACAGGTGATTATGGTTAGAATCAGATGCCCCCATTTTAAATATTTTAAAACTAAGGTTTGATTTAAAAGGCTGGTCAGTGAGAACAGAAAATTCTGATTTTCTTTGGAATTGATCTGTATATAGCTGCAACCCAGGGACCCCAGAGCCTGTAACTCAGCAAGGTTGGCCTCAGGGGACTCTGGATAATGTCACCTGCCTCAAAGAATTGGGGTCAGAGTCCATTCTGGGGATCTGGACACTCCCAAACGAATGTCCATTTTTCTTATTTGTAAAATTTGCTTTCCCCATTACGGATAAAATGGAAGGGAGAGATGTGAACATTGAGGCTATAAAATGAGGTTTTCTAATAAAGCGGCCTCCTGCTCACCTGACCACTTGTCTGGCAAACATTTATTTGATGCCCACTGGATGACAGGCTCTGATAAGACAGGAGAGCCAAAGATGAGCATGACATGGTCTTTTGTCCCCAAAGAGCTCACAGTCTAACAGGAGACACGACACCCTTTGTCACTGAATTTTATGTTTCATATAATACACACGTCATTTCTCACAGTCAGTGGCCTGGGTAAAGCGTATGAAGAGGAAATCGTCCCTTCCCTCTGAAAACAAGGGGTGAGTGAAGGCAGGCCCAGAGAGGTGCCTTGGATGGGCAGGGTGTCTCCGCACCGGGCTGCCTGCGCTGTTATCGACAGTGGGGGAGGGTGAAGGCTCTGTCAGCAATTCGTCGGCCCCCCTTCCCCCAGGGCGGCTTCACTCACCGCTGCGGCTCTGTGTGTTACAGTTCCCGGACCCTGTGACCCCGAAGACTTGATCGATGGAATCATTTTTGCTGCCAATTACCTTGGCTCCACCCAGCTGCTCTCAGACAAAACCCCCTCCAAAAACGTGCGCATGATGCAGGCCCAGGAAGCCGTGAGCAGGATCAAGGTGAGGGGCGCGGGGGGCGGAGGTGGCGGGCTGAGCCGTCCATGGTGGTCTCCCCTGTACCTCATGCATATCTAGTCTCAGGTTTAGGGAAGTGTGGGGTGGGATGATGTACCTGCCAACAGAGAAAAAGTGTGCCTGAGTCCTTACAGATAAATGCTGTGTGCCTGGGGTGTTCTTAATGTTCTTAAGAGAAAGCACGTGTGATCATCAACTCTGGAAAGCTGGTAACGTGAGGACGGATGTCATTTTGAGCATTAGGTCTCCAGCGGGAGAGCTTTATCCCTGTGTTTTCATGCACATGGTGGTCCAGTGACTTGAATACTCATGTTACAGGCATGGTCCAAGCTCAGTCTCCTGCTTTTGAACCAGTTATCAAATATAGCATGTTGGGATTTTGTTCATGTCTGTTCAGCAGAGCCCCAGGGTATCAGACGGTGAGCAAAAGAGCACAAGAGAAACCGAAATAGAGAAGCTGATAACTTACAGGTCCTCAGGGAAGGACCCAGGGACCCAGCACACCTCAAGGGGCCACAGGGTGGGGGTCAAGCCTGAGTGAGCGCAGGCAGAGGGCGAGACAGGACCTGGGGCACACGCCTCTCCTAGGGTCTGTGAGCAAAGTACTTCGGGGTCCCTGGATTTGAACCGGCCAACTCAAACCGAAAAGGGCAAAGTTTTGGGGAGCTCCACCGGGGTCTTCTCTCAGGCCACACAGGGGGAAGGCCCTGGGCCTGAGGGAGACCATTTACTACAAGAGTTGTTGGGAATTGATATCGGGAGCTTAAATTTGCTTGTGACTCTGTGAGCTGTCGTCCAGGGCACACGCTTGTGTGAGGGCTAGCGTCCGTTTCAGGTCACAGCAGGCCACTTGACCAAAGTGGATGCCAAGGCAGCAGCCCCACAAAGCAGCTTAAGCTCTGGACACAGGTTAATGGCGCTGCTCACTTCCTCAAGACCAATGGGAGTGTGAGGACCTGGCATGCCTCGCTCTGTGGTTTTCGGACAGCCGGGGGCCACCTCCAGAAGGGGCTTTTGGAAGCAGCTGGGGGACCCCGTGGGGTGCCACAGCTTCTGGGAATGTTTTCTGCTGGTGTTAGTGGGCCCGAGGCAGGCATGCCTGACAGCCTGCAATGTCCAAGATAGAGCACAGGATAGAGATTTAACTCCCACAGAATGCCAGAGCACCCCTCGGCCCCTGTCAGGGAGCACTCCCAGAGCCCATTCATGTGAATCTTTCAGGACCAAACAGCATTCCACCCCTGGAGGAGCCCTGAACGCCCTCAAGACAGAAAACTGTGCTGTTTGGGGATTTCTCTCAACTTCTGTCCATCAAGGTTTCAAACATGTGCGGGTTTGGGGATCATACTGGGCACCTTGTTCATTGGCCTCCTGAGTGGGAGCTGTTGAGTCCCACAGATAGTTTTTCTGTTCCCACTGCCCTGTGACATGGATACAGTGTGACATGTGACATGTCCACTGCCCTGTGACATGTGACCTTGAGGAAAGAAGAAGACACCTCCCCAGAACTAAAGGCCGTGGCACCCAGCGCCAGAGCCCAGCCAGGACCCAGTGTGCGCTGAATCACAGCTTCCAATTTCCGCAGTGAGGCCCTAGAGCGCGGGTTTCCCTTCTTAAAGTCCAGCCTCCCTGAAAAGAAACCAGAAAGTTCACTTTGAGGCTTCAAAGGATCAGTATCCAGAAGTTCCATGGCTGATTTGAACCAAAAAATTAGATGGTTTCGTTGATCATAACAAGCAAGATGAGGCTGTCTGATTATAAATCCATTTTAGACCTGCCTAGAGCAGAGCAGACATCTGGAAAACATATATTTATTTTTACAGCAAATTATTGTAGTGTGAGGAATTCATTACAGAGTGGCGAAGTTAAATGGCTCCATTCATTTATAAGTATCGTCTTTGCAGCGTGCTGCTTTGCATGTGAAGGAGCTGCAGCCCGTCATTAAGTGTTTTCTGCCTCCTTTTCCTTTTAAATGCCCGTCGAGTCATTAGACTTTGCACCCAGCCTGACGCTTTTGCAAATGCTAGGTGGAGACTGTGTGCAGACCCATGGGTTATTTCAGCGCCCCATAGAAAGCCACCGTGTCGGGATGTGCACCGAGATTTCACAGAGGGAAGCAGAGCACCTAGAGCATTTATCTGGATCCGTGGGGTTGGTCTTGCAGGAACCTGCACACTGGGTCCGCACATAGGAGACCCCTTTCTGTAAGGAAGGTGGTGCCCTGCTGTTTCCTAAAGAGAGGCTGACCTTTCAGGAATGAGTTAGTCTAGGCCACCTCTATAAAGATGCAAAGAGGAAGGAAGCTACAGATTTGAATGTCTGTCCAGGAAGGAAGGAAAGAAGAAAACCTGTGTGAATTGATTTGGAAATGCACTTAGCAATACCCTCAGCACAAACTGATGAGTAACTTCCACCTTGGCGCACTCATCTGAACAAAGACAGAGGGGTTTCCTCCTTCTGTTTCTGATTCCTTTTTCTTCCCTTCTTCCCCATGGGGACCCCCATCTTCCTCACCGTGAGTCTGGTGTGGCCATGGGGTTTGTGCTAGGTTAACTCTGAGCGAACACCAAACCTGAAGCTGGGCTTTCAGAACTGTCTTTTTCATTTCCCTCCTGTGGGTCGATTGTGGTGCTTATTGGATTTGCACTTGGGAGTTTGCAGAATTAGTATTTTCTTAATTTAAAGAACGTATAAATTTATTTGCCAAATGGGGAGAGAATTTGGAGTTGTGGTTTGGCCAGAAATTTTCTAGTTAATGTGAGAGGAAGACAAAGGAATTTGGCTCAGAAAGCAAACCATTCCTCCACAGACCCTTGAGGGAGGCATCTCAGGAGATAAGAACTAACCAAGACCCAGTCCTTGACCTTTAGATACTTGCAGCCTAATAAGGGAACCAAGAAGATTGCTTAAGTAACAGTAATACAAGGCAGGTTGAGGAATCTGAAATTGAAAGCCTTTTCCATCTACCCACATGGAATAAATAAGGTGGATCTAAATGCAACAGCAGAATTAGAACACATCTGCCATTTTTCTTGTTTTTTTTTTTTCCATCTTTGGACCCTCCCTAATGTATCCTTTCTGCCTTTGTTGTTCATCATTTCTGAGGAGAAATAATAGCCTTTTCAGAAGCCCCCAGATGACTAAGGAATACATTAAAGAGGTAGTTCTCAGAATGGGATCCCTTGGCCAGCCCTCAGGACCACCTGGGATTGTTAGAAATGCAGATTCTCAGGCACACCCAGTCAGATATTCAGGGTGGGGGGTGGGTAGGGCCCAGGAATCTGTGTTTCCATAATCCTTCAAGGAGATTGTGGTATACACTGTAATTAGGGGACCACTGTCCAACACAAGGGTGACCATCCTTGTACAGCATCTTTGTGCTCTGGGGCATCCCCAAGCTGAGTGCTTCCCACTGACGAGGTCCTGCTGGCACATTAGCTCAAGAAATGCTGCAGAACAGATCCCCCTTTTTTAATTGGCCAGACGTGTTTTCCTATTAAAGATTTTGAGGAGCCCTGTACCAGGGAGATCTAATTCACGTTGCTTAACCAGTAACTCCCATCGTTATCTGAACACAGAATCCGTGACCACTGTGTGGTACGTGTCAGAAGCCGTGCTGCTGAGATTCTCTGGAACATGTTTTGGGAGAACTGTCTGCCCTACGTGCTGTCGGTAGCACCGTAGATAGAGACGCCCTGTTCGTCCCACAGTGTGGGAACCATGCCTTGACCCTTCTGAGAACCAGACTCGAAGCCAACGTGTCTTGAACCCTTGTCTTCCTTTCTCTCCACTACATCCCCATGCTTCATTCCACCCTCATGCTCTCTGCACTCTCTGCTCTTGGGCCGGAAGTCGGGCTGACCCTCCGGGCCCTACCCTGAGCCACTGAAACTGCTTCATGTCCACGCAGAGTGGGGTGTACGTACCTCCATTCTTCCTACATTTGTGAAGTTCGTGTTCTTGGCTCACAAATGGTGTTGGATGTTTTTTGGTGCATTTTTGTAAGGAGCGTTCATGATCAAGCATGCTCCTCTTTGTCTTGATTAGCTGGTCCCAAAAGATGAGGTTTCCCTATTCTTTCGTGAAAAGGTTTTCTTTAAATGTCAAAAATCAGGACTTAATTGTAGAACGAAAATCTCTATCGTTGAGACTTTGTGTAAGCCATGTGACTTCCCACGTGACTCCAAGAAGTCTGTGATTAAAATGAAAAGGATATGAACAGTTAAAGCAGGTCTTTCACATACATTTATCTCATTTACTCCTCAAAATGGAGGGGTGGGGAATCCTGGGAGGTAGATATTATTGACCCTCTTTACAGGTAAACTGAGAGGTTTGTAGATGAGAAGCTTGCCTGAGGTGTACATCAAGTGGTTTGGAGCCTGGAGTGAGATTTCCAGGTTTGAATCTCTATTCTGCCTCTTAACAGCTGAGTGCCCTTGAGCAAGTTAATTAGTCTCTCTGTGCCTCAGCTGCTGCTTCTGCAAGAGGAGAGTACTATAGTGCCTACCTCACAGGGCTACAGAAGCTTTCACACTGCAACACACATGAACTGCTTAGAAGGATGCTGGCACATAGCAGGTGCTCAGCAAATGCCACCTGGGGAAAGAAAAGCTAGAATAGTCAGAAGGATTCCCAGAATGACTAACCTAGAGAGTCTTAACAACGGTGAATGCTCAATGCGCATCGCAGAGTGAGAGGGTGAATGACAGTACCAGTTTGTGTCCTTTGTGTCCACAGCTTACTGAGGGGCAAGCCACATCAGTCCTGTGAAACACGAGGATTTCAGTGGATGCTGTCACTCCTTGCTTTACGACACACTCTGGCCTTCTCTTGGGCCTTTCTGCTACTGCAATTTATCATTCCGGATCTGACCCCTTCCCAAATGTCATGTGTAAACTTTAAATTAGAATTTGTTTCAGTGCACCTGAATAGCACATGTGGTTGAAATCCTGGTATTACTGTAAGCGCATAAAATACCCTTCACTTTATAAAAATTACTTCAGAATGCCTTTCATGAAACTCGGTTTGCCATTTGGATTCTCTTTCATCAACCAGTCCAGTAAACAAACAAACAAAAACAAAAAACAATTTGGTTATTCCATTGGTAAAAGACGTAGCTTCCTCTGGGAGGACTCTTTGAAATCACTGTTCCTTAGAGTCAAGAATGTTGACCAATAGCTGTTAGGTTTTGGTATCAAGAATATTAGAAATTCTTATTCCTGCCAGATAATTTCAGGGAAAGTGGTGGAACAAACACATGCACGTGAGGATCTCACAGTGGTCATTTATCATGGGGATGACAGCCGATGCAGTTGGGAGCACCCCCATGGGACTCTTGGGTCCCACACAGAAATCTGCATGGTGTGGCGGAGGGCCACTCCTCAGATGCAGACGCATGTTCACTGCCGCACGCAGAGTTAGGATACCCCCTTGAACTTGCTGCCTTCTGACTTTTCCAGAGCAGACTGTGCACCATGAATTCATGGCCACAAGGAAGAGCTGTATGGAGGCGGGCGGGGGGGGGGGGCCTGGGGGGCTGCCCTAGTTTCCTGGCTGCACCAGAGAGGAGGTACTTGGTGTTTGGATGGCTGACTCATCTAGTTTCTCTCCAATGAGATAGAACAGACATCCACATTTGACTCATTAATGAACTAGAGATGTGCTGCTGAGAACAAAAGGGCTTTTCCACAGGTGAGTATGAAGGAGCCTGAGAGAGCAGACGGCCCTCCACCCACCCCCATCACCACAGCAGCGTTCGTGGTTCAGCCACTGACTCACCATTATTTGTACAAGATCTGTGTATGTCTAGCAAGCCTTACCAAAAGCCAAGAAATTGCATTCTGACATAGGTAAATTATAATCCTATAACCAACACAAATGTAGTGCTCATACTTCACCAGACGCTGTTCTAAGAGCTTTGCACACATTTGTTTTATTCTCACAACAGCCCTATGCGGTAGATACTGTTTTTATCCTCATTTTACAGATAAGGAAATTGAGGCACAGAGATATGAGGTGGCTTGCTCCAAGTCATACAACTAATAGGTGGCAGAGCCAGGATTCAGTTTTAGACAATCTGGCTGCAGTCTGTCTCTCTTTTAATCAACTGTGTTGTCATTTACTTATGAGAAAAGGTGGGAGGAAGTTTGTTACATCTATTTCTAGTTAGGAATAGACTGTATTAATATTACACAAATTTAAGGCAAGAATTATTACTAGAGATGGACAATATAAGGATCAATTCAACAGAAAGACATAAGTACCTTAAATATGTATGTACCTTATAACACAGATATAAAATAGATAAAGCAAATATTGACAGAACCAAAAGGAGACAGGGACCAACCCACAGTAACAGCTGGAGATTTCAACATACCTCTCTTAGTAAATTTTAGAGCAAGCAAACAAGGAAAAAATTAGCCAGTACATAAAAAATTTAAACCGTACCCTTAACCAGCCTAATTGACCTAACCGGTACTGGTAGAACACTAGATAAAACACTGTTCCCAACAAATGAAGAATGCATCTTTTGAAATCCACCTGACATTTAACATAGTCGGTCATATTCTGGGTCATAGGGCTAAGAACGCAGCACAACTCAATTCAAAGTTTTGGAATCAGAGTATATTCTCTGACCACAGCAGAATTAACTCAGAACTCCGTAACAAAAGAAAACTAGAAAACCCCCAAATGTACTAAAATTAATAACACAACTCTAAATCCAAAGTTCAAAGGAAAACTCACGGTGGAAATTAGAAAACATTTTGAAGTGATAATTAGATGGGAACATAACAAAATTTGTGGGATACAGCTAACGCAGTGCTTGGAGGGATATTCACAGCTTTAAATAAATGTATCAGGGGAAAAAATTAAATTTTCATCTCAGGAAGCTAGGAAAAAAAATCAGCAAATGTAATCCAAAGAAAGTAAAAGCAAATTCAGATGTAGGTTGAAATCAAGGAAATAGGCATACAATAAAGAAAATCAAGGCATACAAAGAAGAAAACAGAACCAAGCTGGTTCTTGGAAGCATCGATTGCAGTTACATATAAGAAGCACCCCAGTGTTTCCTTCCTCGTACAGCCCCCGCCACTTACAAAATCATGAGTTAGGAAATTGTCTGTAGAGCAGAATTTTTTTTTAAGTCAGTCCTCCTCACACAGAAATGCCTTATGCCACTGTCGATACTAGTTTGTCAATTCCCTTTTGACTTTGAGTCTCTGCAAATTCTTTTCTAACTGTTCTCCTGTCTCTGTTTGTTCCATGCTAAGCAGATGGCCCAGAAATTAGCCAAAAGCAGAAAGAAGGTGCAGTACAAATAACGTCATCAGCTTGGTGTTATGCCTGTTCTTTTCATTTATTTACATTTTGCCTTTTTATTATTTTGTGTTTTTGTTTTCTGCATCCAGCAAGTTTTCGTTCAGATTTCTTTTTGAACCGCCCCATTAGCCAACGTTTCTCAAAACTTAGTTGCCCAAAGTGGCTGTTTTCTGTTGCTCATTAGTCATTTCACGTCAGAGAAACAACAGGCAGCAGATTGGAGATGCTAAATGAATCCTCCAGGAGTGTGAAAGTTCCCACCATTCAGGAGCATTAATGTGGCAGGGATTTGGGTCTGTTCAATTATAGTCACGTTTGACTTGTGGATTTGTCAGATTGCTGGATGCAAAAAAGAAAACTCGCTAATAACCACACTGTGCGGAGTTAAACCCTAAGTGGACCAGACGGATGCGCTTTTTTGGTTATGGAGCTTCTAGGTGCTTGTGGGCTACCTATGGGGTGTTGAGGTATTTGGGGCTCCTCCTTAATGGGGTGGCTTCAGGAATGGGTATGGCTTCTGTGTCGCTGTGGTAGTGTACGAACATGAAGACCCTTTTACCAGAACTGCATCCAAATGACTTTGTTTGCACTTGATATAAAATGTCCTCCATCACTTGAACACGGGTAGACACTTAGTGACTTCTCCAAGGTCCCGGGGTGTGGGTCAGTTGCCCTTTTCTTCAATGTGTTGGGCTGCAAAAGCCTCGCAGAAAGGGCAGTTCACGAACATCGTTCCTAGAGTCACATCTGCTATGAGCTGCCGCTTCCGTGGGGGAGAGGCAGAGGGGACTCGGCATCTTCCCCTATAACTGCCAGTGCTCACTCTGGTTCGTGAGTCCACCCTCTGCTGTCCCTTCCGCTTCGGCAGTCTACATCTGAAGTCCACCCTGCTGTTCTGGTGACTGTGTCTCAGTGCCTCTGTGTGTGAGCTAACCTTGCTCCCGTGCCCTTGAGTCGGGATGAGGCGTTAAGCTTTCCCCTGGTGCATCTTTCTTCTCAGGCTCCGGAAGGGGAATCTCAGCCAATGACCGAGGTGGATCTCTTCATTTCTACCCAGAGAATCAAAGTACTGAATGCCGACACACAGGTATTAGCTGGCTGCCGCCTCTTCTGGGGGTGGGGGTCCTAGGATGGCAGCTCCGAGACTGTACCCATGTCTGCAGAGCCCCTGTCCTCCACTGCTGGCTTCCAAACAAGCTAAAAGGCAGTGTGTGCAGAGTGTGCTGCGGGGGAGGGGGTGGTGGTGCTCTGGGACTGTTTCCTTGAAGATCTAAGGAAAAAATAAACCATGGCTGTTGTTTGCAAATCATTCTTGTAAGTTGTTCCAGAAGATTCATTAACTAGAACAGATTAGCCTTTTAAGAAATTTTTGCTTAAAATCAGACACACACACATACACACACACACACACACACACACTACAACCATCACGTGTGGATATTTTCTTCTTTTAACTTCACCAGAGATTTTACTGGTTGTAAAACGACTGAACAGTTTTTTGCACACACCACAGGCCACTTCTTGCTCTGGGTCATTATTAAGTCGTGGGAACTCCCCCCAGGCTTAAGTGGGTGCATGTAAATCTGCCAGCAGTCTTTGAACCCAGGTATCCCACCATCACCCCCCACCCCCCGCTGCATGGGGACTGCACTTGGTTGGGCTGTGGGGTGGCAGACTCTCTCATGGGCCATTAGATGCTGTGCTGGACTTAGCATCCCTGTCCCTTACGCCCTCCAGGAGACAATGATGGACCACCCTCTGAGGACCATCTCCTACATAGCCGACATCGGGAATATCGTTGTGCTGATGGCCCGCAGGCGGATGCCCCGCTCCAACTCCCAGGAGAACGTGGAAGCCTCCCACCCATCCCAGGATGGAAAAAGGCAATACAAGATGATCTGCCACGTCTTTGAGTCTGAGGATGTAAGAGTGCCTCCCCTGATGTCCCCCTGGGTGACCTGGGCTGCCCTTGGGTGGGCAGATTCTCTCTCTCTTTCAGAACCTGAACTGGTCTCATTAATCATACATGAAGCACGCTTTTATTGAGCACCTACTGTGTGTCAAGTACATGGTAGGGATACAAAGATGATACAAGGTGTTTATCATGAGGCTTACAGGGAGACAGAAAATAAACAGATAAATAGACTTAAACTAGATAGTGAGAACTTCTATAAGGAAAAATAAAAAACAGCTGGGACTGGAGCTATTTCAGGTGGGAGAATCAGCAAATTCTTCTCTGAAGAGGTGACATTTGAAGAGAGACCTGCATCACCCTAGAGTAAGAAAAGGCTGAGTTCAAAGGCCCTGAGGCAGGGGCCTGCTGGTGTAGTTCAAGGATGGCCTAGAATGAGGGACGAGAGGAGAAGGAAAGCAGTCGGACCCATGGGGGCCCCAAGTGCACCTCACCTGGGCGTGAGGACCTTTGGAGGAGGACCATTCTCGGCTGTGTAGGATTGCCCTCTAGACCACAGCAAAGTTAGGATTCCTTTTCCTAACCGCCCCAGTGCCAGGAGCACTGCCTGTCCACTCCCAGTTGTCACGAAAACCAGCTACTCCTCTCGTCCCCAAGCCAGCGAGTCCCAACCGCCATCTTTCCCGGTGTCACAGTCAACAGAGAAAATCCACGCACAGCAGAGGCAGGGCCCCCTTCCTCCATTGAGCCTTCTCCCCCCAGACGTCCCTGGAACCGCTGGTGAGGCCTCCAGGCTTCAAGCTACGTCAGCATCCAGCCTCTCCTGAAGCTTGGCTAGGCCTTAGAAGCTCCCTTTAGGGCCGGGAGCCGCGGCCCCATGATGAAGGCCTGGAGCCACAGGGCCGCCCCAGGAGGGCCATGTCCGTGCCATTGATGGTGCTGATTTCCCTCTCAGCACCGCGGCATAAGCTCCGTTTCTCATGTTGAGCAGAGAGCCCTTAGCTACTTAAAAAAAAATGGCCTGTGGTCGCCTTGGCTCCTTAAGAGAGGCCATTTTTCTCCAGGAGAGTGTTCGTCTAGCTGCGGTAAATTGCCCTCCTGCAGGAAGTTAAGAGTCCGAGGCAAGCTGCTCTTCCCCCGGGATTCCGCGCTGTCACAGCCGCAGCCACAGGGAGGTGGGGACATTCACACTCTCTGCACCATCGCCTGGTCTGGTTCCCTAGAGCCCAGCCCCGCGGAACAAGATCTTTGCGAAGGCAGCCATTCTCCCTGCTCTTCCTTGACAGCTGGCGGCCAAGCACACAGACTGGGAGAAAATGAGTTTTGGAAGTTTCTCGGAAAGTTTCGAAAGTTAAACTTAGAAGCTTAAGGCTCACATGTCCCGCAGGCTGGCTGGAAAGGGGGAGTTAGCTCTGCACCACCCCTACCAGGCATGTGGATGCCCGCGGGACCCTCTGCCACCCCCAGCTGGCTTGGAGCTTCTTTTTTTTTTTTTTTTATTTCTAGGAGAGAGAGAGAGAGAGACAGCATGAGCAGGGGAGGGTCAGAGAGAGAGGGAGTCACAGACTGAAACAGGCTCCAGGCTCTGAGCTGGCAGTCAGCACGGAGCCCGACGCGGGGCTCGAACCCACGAACCGCGAGATCATGACCTAAGCGAAAGTCGGACGCCTAACCGACTAAGCCACCCACGCCCCTCTGGCTTGGAGCTTCTAAGGAGGGGTCCCTTTCCGTCCAAGCTCCCATCTGGGAAGGTGACGAGAGGAATGAGGAAGCAGGAGGGTGACAAGGGTGGGCCCCGAATCTCACTTTTACCCCCTTTGCTTCTGAAGCAAAGGACAGAAGAGCGTTGGTTTCAGAACTGAGTCTGGATCTGAATCCTGCCTCCATGTACGGGCTGTGAGGCCACCAAGCTTGTGTCACATGACGGCGTGTCCCTCCCTGGGCTGCCACGTGATCCCACTAGACAGCACGCACACAGAGCCTGTGCGTTTGCAGGCTGCTTCCGTCAGTAATGCTCAGCACTCAGCACGTACTTTTCAGGTCATCCGTCCGCATGTGCCCCTCATGGCTGCAGCGATGCCTCGCTCCCGCTTTTACTCAGGACACGGCGTGGCAGTCCTTGTGACTTGTGCATGCGAAGTCACCAGAGTCACAGAGTGAGAAAAATGAAGCATTTCTTGTCCTATAGCCAGTCATCATAGGAGGTTCTGATGTCACTGCTCTTTACCTGCTTTTAGCTAAGCTGCTCACCTTAACCTCTCAGCCCCTGCTCCCTGCCTGTCCCGTGGGGACGATGCAACAGACCCGTAATTCCAAAGTCTAAAGAGCTTTGAGAAGGGAAAGGGGATTTTGGAGTCCATTGGCTGCCAGGAGACAACTGATAGTTTTCCAGCTTACGGTGAATCTTGTGCAATATTACTGTTTGTTTATAGGGCAATTCCCCGGATTCTGATGGGGATTTTAGACAAATGCACCCTGTTGCCTTCTTTAAAACCCAAAAAGATCTAAATTCTGAAACACGGCCTCGAGAGCGTAGGATGAGGGTGCGTGGCGCTGTCACGTCCCCATCAGTCATAGGCTTGATGCGAGGATTGCAGGGACAGCCCTTGGCTGGTGTTCAGTGAAGCACCAGCATGTGAGAGGTTCTGGTGGCCACTGGCGAGCTAACTTCGTAGCGTGGGTGAATTAATGCAGCGAGAGGCTATCGAGAATGACCCACAGAAGCACAGCTCCTGTCCTGTGAGCTCTGTGACCGTGGGCAGGTTCCTTCATGTCTCTGGGCCTCAGTCTCCTCACCTGAACACTACAGTGTTGGACCCGATGAGGGTTTTCAACTTTGTGGGACCCAGAACCCTCTTTGTACAAGAGAGATTGTGTGAGGCCCATTACCGTCCTGAAATAAAATTCATGGATAATATAACATCCCCCTTTGAAAATTTTCCACAGGCTAAAGCGTTGCGGTAAATGTAGCACAGAGGAGAAATAAAAGGAAAGGAAGCTCAAATAAGATTATACTTAACTGCAGTATGTAAATGCTTGGGCCCAGCCATTCCAGAATGAATAGCAGAACCATCTGATGTTTACACCTACATAGCATTTAGCTGAATATCGAAAACACTTCCTATTTGACCCTTTGAATTGAGGGCTCAGTAGAAAAATGGGTGTGTAGACAGACTCCACCTTCATACACAATCCCCCCAGTGTGAGTGTACACATGTAGGCTGCTGGGGATGGGATTTACTGGCCACCCAGATACCAAGAATAGCGTTACTGCTAATGATTTTCCGAAATCTGAAAGCTTACCTCCAGGGAAATGCTGGACAAAGCAGCTCATCATCTTCTCTCACTTAACACAGCAGCTCTACGCTCAGAATGTTCCACGTGAATTAGACCCGTGCAATTAATGCCTTTGTGTTCTATGTCAGTTGAGGTTGAGTCCTGAACTCAGATGGTTTGATCCAGGTGGTACGTGGCTCTTAGTGTCCAGGGATGTTTGGGAATTGTTCAGGGGGTAAAGCGGCTCGTCTGTGGGTAGGACTGTCCTCCTCATAGCAGAATCCAGCAGCTCCCTTGTGACCATCGTCGTGGTAAAACACGTCCCTAGTCATTCTGAGAACGGCCTCTGGCAGAGATGGGTGCCGCGTGTCGACCCACCGGCCTCGCTGACGCCTGGGGCTCCCGGTCCTGCCGGGACCCAGGCACTTCCGCCAGCGGGGCTCCCTGGTTGACCTCCGTCTTCCCTCCCCGGCCCCGCATAGGCGCAGCTGATCGCTCAGTCCATCGGGCAGGCGTTCAGCGTGGCGTACCAGGAGTTCCTCAGGGCCAACGGCATTAACCCCGAGGACCTCAGCCAGAAGGAGTACAGCGACCTGCTCAACACCCAGGACATGTACAACGATGACCTGATCCACTTCTCCAAGTCGGAAAACTGCAAAGATGTAGGTATCTCTCCGAGGTCGGCCGGCGGGGCGGGAGCCCCAGGGTGTGGGGACGGCCCTGCCGTGGAGGGAAGGTGGGACGGGTGAGGGAGGAGGGTGCCCAGGCCCACCTCCAGCTCCCCTCTCGTGAGGCCCCGTCGTTAAAGCCGCGGTGGAGCGCCGTCACCAAGGTGGACCGTCCTCCGGTCCTGGCGTTCCTGAGCTAAGTTCGCCGTGGGTTCGAGAGGCGCACGGGACCTGAACCCCGCCCTTCCGGAGCCCACTGCTTAGGGAAGGGCACAGAAGAATTTAGTGACGGTGCTGGGCACAGCACTGGTCAGAGACAGCTGTGACAACGGGGCAGGTGTCAGGTCTCAGGGGACGGGCTCTGTGCTCCCCCAGAGGGTGGCCCCTGCTTCAGACAGAGCTTTGCAGGGGCGTCTGGAGGAAGACGCAGCCGTCGGAGCTGGGCTGGAGGCCCGGGGAGTCCAGGGAAAGTGGAAGAGACCACAGAGAGCTGGGCCAAAGGACGGGGGCATGAAGGTCAGAAAGCTCGGGAAGTGGCCGGGGGGCCATGAATGAGCCCACATGGCTGGAGCACGGGGTCCGAGTGGAAGATGACCTGAAGAGTCCTCCCCCCCCCCTGGGGTTCAGGTGGGAACTGAGTATCTTCAGAGTCTAGCCCAGGGGCTCGGGCTTCCCCCAGAAGGCAGAGAGTACTTTATGAGAAGGTGATGTTTTTACCCACCAATGGAGGTTTGGTGTCCTCTCTTCCCTAGAAGCAGAGCCTGAGGCAGGGATTCTTGTTCAAGGGATTTTGGGGAGGAGTGCACTTGGGAAAAAGTGAGTGTGGGCAGCAGGATGGTAGGGATGCTAAGCTTAGAGAAGTGTGGCCTTGCTAGAGAGGAGCTTCATTCGAATCCAGAGGAAGCTCTGGGTCACAGGGCAGACCTGTCCTACCTTGGGCCAGAGGACTCCGCAGGCCTCCATCGCCCGGGCCGGTCAGTCATTGGCTGACGAAGATGGGAGGCGGGTGTATCGTGTATGCGGGCTGCTTAACAGAGTACTTCAGACTGGGCTGCTTCACCCAAAATGTACTGCCTCACAGTTCTGGAGGCTCATGGTCCAAGATCAGGGTGTCCACAGGGGACCACAGGGCCGGTCCCTCCTGAGGGTGGTGCAGGAAGGGTGTGTCCCAGGCCCCTCCCCCTGGCTTGGAAATGACTGTCTTCTCCCTGGGTCTACGCATCATCTTCCCCTGTATGCGTGTGTCTGTGTGCAAACTTACAAACTTCCCCTCCTTTAAGGACACCAGTCATCCTGAATTAGGGCTCACACTAATGACCTCAGTTTAACTTGATTGCCCCTGCCAAGACTCAGTATCCAAATCACGTATTATTCTTTTAAATTTATTTTTTTATTATTTTTGATGATATTGATATTTTCATTTATTTTTGAGAGAGACACAGAGTGCAAGCAGGGGAGGGGAAGAGAGGGAGACACAGAATCGGAAGCAGGCTCCAGGCTCTGAGCTGTCAGCACAGAGCCCGACGCGGGGCTCGAACCCACGAACCGCGAGATCATGACCTGAGCCGAAGTAAGATGCGCTTAACCGACTGAGTCATTCAGCTGTCCCCAAATAAGATCATGGTCTGAGATACTGAGGGTTTGGCCTCCGATGTAGGAATTTCGAGGAGAATACAGCTGAAGAGCCCATCACAGGGAGTGTGTCCCATTGGGCAGCTCTCCAGAGACGCGGCCAGCTGTGGGCGTTAGCAGCCAGGAGGAGGGACACGAGCCTGTGAAGGGGCTTTGTCAGGCCCCAGCAGCCACCGCCACAGTGCGTGTGGGAGCGTATATGTATGTGCGAATCTCAATAAATAAATATACACTCTCTTTGTTAAAGGCTTCCAGAAAGAGTCTTGCCCCTTTGTAGTGTCTGTGCAAATCTTTCCAGACTGCAGGAAACCAAAACTAACGCCTGTCTTCTCTGCCCTGCCCAGGAAGTCCACACGCAATTATGCCCGTCTAGAATATGGTCTTCCTGCTGACTCTTCCAACCCTTCACTGGTGATAGATAACCTTAGCGTCATTCATTTGTTTTGTTTTTCCTTCTTCCTCAGCTTTCTCCTTGCAAAGAGAGAATGTCTGTAATGTCTATTTCTTTTTACTAGAAGAATCTCCAATGTTGGAGAGAATTGGTGAAGCACTAAGGACTAGGGCAGCCTGGGTATAGAACCCAGAAGCTATTTCTGGAAACCATAAGGCACCACCAAAGTCCCCACCTACACAGCCTCTTCGCCCACTCCTTGTGGACTGCAGAGAAAAGCACCCACTGCCCTTTGTGTTACTATTGCCAAGGCAAGATAGCTTAGGTGGAACAAGAATTATAAAAAATCATGTGGACCTGTGTTAAATCATTTTTACCAAATGCTATGGAATCTAGAGAAGACAGGACTCATTTGGGCTGGAACCTCAGGGAAATATCTTTCTTTTTTTTTTTTTTTTTCCAATGTTTGTTTATTTTTGAGAGAAAGAGAGAGACAGAGCATGAGCAGGGAAGGAGCAGAGAGAGACGAAGACACAGAATCCGAAGCAGGTTCCAGGCTCTGAGCTGTCAGCACAGAGCCAGACGCAGGGCTTGAACTCATGAACTATGAGATCACGACCTGAGCCGAAGTCAGAGGCTTCACCGACCGAGCCACCCAGGGATCCCAGGGAAATGCCTTTCTTAAGTCAAGACAGAGAGTGGGAAAAAGTTTTCATTGGTATCACTACCCTGGGTGGTAAGCAATTCAGGCTTTCTAAGTGTTTTTGTTTTTTGTTTTTCCCTCCCTTTCAGGTCTTCATAGAGAAGCAGAAAGGAGAAATCCTGGGTGTGGTGATTGTGGAGTCTGGCTGGGGGTCCATCTTGCCAACCGTGATCATCGCCAACATGATGCATGGAGGCCCTGCTGAGAAATCGGGGAAGCTGAATATCGGGGACCAGATCATGTCCATAAATGGCACCAGCCTGGTGGGCTTGCCTCTGTCCACCTGCCAGAGCATTATTAAGGTACCTGGAAATGGGAAAACCTAAAATGGATGAAGTATTACTGTATTTCAGTCATTAATGCTATAACATAAATTGAGGGTCGGGCACAGAGGAGGACACAAATAGTAACAGGCATGGGCTTGTGCTCAGGCTCTTACCAGACTCCTCCCTGACATCATTTTTGTTTATTTTTTTAATGTTTTTATTTATTTCTGAGAGATGGTGCGAGCAGGGGAGGGTCAGAGAGAGAGGGAAACACAGAATCTGAAACAAGCTCCAGGCTCTGAGCTGTCAGCACAGAGCCCAAAGCGGGGCTCAAACCCACGAACCGTGAGATCATGACCTGAGCTGAAGTCGGAGGCCTAACCGACTGAGCCACCCAGGTGCCCCCTGACATCATTTTTAGATCAAAGATGATATATTTGGCTCCCATAACACCATTCTATGTTCTGCGCCATTGCAGGCATCACTAATCAATCACAGCACTCTCCTCCCCTAAGCCTAGACTCCGCCTCCACCGAAGTTCCCACGGCTCAGTAATCCAGATGATCACTGATGGTCCACTAGCTGTGCTTGAGGTGATTGGCCGTCCCCGTTACAAATCAGGGAACTGCTTCAGGTCTGAGAGCCCGGTTTCCCTCACAGTGGCCGTGGCTATGATCCGAATGAGTGTGGCCTCCCCCAGAGCTCACATGACAGGATCCACACGTGCCAGCTGCCATGAGAAAGGGGGGACCTTCTGGTATGGACTGTGTGTTCCTTCTCACACCTGAACGTCATTACTTCTCGTTCTGAAAAGACGCTGTCATGCAAGGCTGAGAAGAGCTGCTCACATGAAACAGTGTGTAAAAAGATTTTCTTCTTAGCAATGAAGCATCATTGTGTAGTTTCTTGAGCACGTTGGAACTTGCTGATTTCCTGGCCGGCAGGAACCTTTCTCCTTCACCTCCGTATCTGGAGGCCCTTGCTCCATGCCAAGCACCGTGACACCACAGGCAGACTGGGTTCTAGGACTCTCTTTCATCCCTCGAGGTTTCCTGAAAGCCCGTGAGCTAGAACATAGCTGTGGGCATGCGCGTGTGGGTGTGCGCGTGTGTATGGGCTGCAGGACTAAATAAATTCATAGACTAGTTTATTTTTTTTTTAATGTTTTATTTATTTCTAGGAGAGAGAGAGAGACCGCGTGAGCAGGGGAGGGTCAGAGAGAGAGGGAGTCACAGACCGAAACAGGCTCCAGGCTCTGAGCTGGCAGTCAGCACAGAGCCCGACGCGGGGCTCGAACCCACGAACCGCGAGATCATGACCTAAGCGAAAGTCGGACACTTAACCGACTAAGCCACCCAGGCACCCCTAGACTAGTTTATTTGAAACAAAATCACAAAAGCCAACATCCAGGGCTGGGCAGTCAGAGGGTGGAAGTGAAGGTAAGTGTATAGGACACAGAGAGGGGGACCTCTTCGTTTTTAATGAAACAGATATATTCTGATTCCTCAGAGATTATCATACCCAGAGAACAAATAGTCCTCTTTGGCCTCATTTACTTTCTTTTTGTTACATTTTACACTTAAATAAATTCTCCCCCTTCCTAACATACATTAAAGATTAAAGAACCTTGGGGCGCTTGGCTGGCTCTGTCGGTACAGCATGTGACTCTTGGTCTCAGGATACTGAGTTCCAGCCCCATTCTGGGTGTAGAGCTTACTTTAAAATATATAAATATACATATATAAATATATATATGCAAACACCTATATAAATATATGTATACAAACACATATATAAATATATACATACACACAAACACATATATAAATATATATATATATACAAACACATATATAAAAGACCCTAACTTGAACATGCGTAGTCACTCGGACATGCTTTTAAAAATTTTTTTTTAATGTTTATTTTTGAGAGAGAGAGAGAGAGCATGCGAGTGCACGCAAGTAGGGGAGGGGCAGAGAAAGGGAGACACAGAATCTGAAGCAGGCTCCAGGCTCTGAGCTGTCAGCACAGAACCCGATGAGGGGCTCGAACCCATGAACCATGAGATCATGACCTGAGCCGAAGTCAGACACTTACTGAGCCACCCAGGCGCCCCTCGCTCAGCCATGTTTAATTGGGCCTCCGTTAGGCGGAGCTGCACTTTGGAGAAGCGGCGTATCAGCAGGCATGTGGAGGATAATCTATCATTGAAAGGGTTCGTGGGCCCTCGTAGCAACAGAGAGGTGAAATGCCGCCTGCGGAGGGAGGAGAATTTTTTGATTTTTAAGGTGGACTTGGAAAGAGGAGTCGGATCGAGGCGGATGGGTAACCTAAAGGGATCCAGGCTACTGGAGCTGCTGTCTGAATGGATGGGCACTGGGCTGGCTTTGCAGCGGTGGCGACCAGCCTGAGCACAGCCAGGGAAGGCTGCTGTGATGGACTGCTACCGTGGAGAGGGCTGGGGGCTGGCACCGGGAGTGGGCACATGGGATCCACCCACATTTGGTAACTCCCTCACACGTGTCAAGGTTCATGGATAGCCTTTCATACTAGTGAGCAAATGACTTATTCAACACTGTGCATGCGTGAAGCCCCCTGAGGGGCAGGCGGGGACCAGAGATACGTCAGATCAGTCTGCACCCAGGAACTTGGTCTGACCGGGGAGATGGAGGGAAAGAACGAATAGCCAATGGCGACTGAGTGCTGTCCGCTGGCACCGTTCTGAGAATGTGCACGTTTGCTCATGGAGCCCTCATGGCCGCCTTCTGTAGGGTAGGTACTGTTGTCATGCCCAATGGACAAGTAAGGAAACTGAGGCACAGGATGGTGCTGTGATCATTGTCGGTGGTGAAGCCAGGTCCCTCAGCCACCCTGATATCACTCAGCCCCTGAGGCAGTGGTTCTCAGCCGAGGATCTTGACACACACCTCCTTCCCGAGGAGAAGCGAGGTGGTGTCTGGAGACATGGTGGTGGAGAGAACTAGGGGAAGAGAGGCTGTAACGTCTCGTGGGTGGAGGTGCAGATGCTGCCAGACCCCCAGCCCCACAGCGGAGAGGGAGCCCAATTGCAAAGGCAAGAGTTCAGAGGTGCGGGGAAGAGATCCGCTCAGAGGGAGGGAGGCAGGTGAGGGAGCACGGAGAGTGGTCTGGGTCTGCAGATGTTCGGGAAGAGGAGTCAGAAGAAGGCGAGAATAAGCGTTTCTGAGGCTTCCTGCCTGTGCCCATTACGCACCTGCTAGGCAGCGCCTGGCCACTTCGTTGCCTCCCTGCAACAGCAGCCCCCTCCCTCATGGGCGCTTGGTTTACAGACAAGCCATCAGAGACGCCAAGGGTGCAGACGACCTGCACAGGCTCCTCCTGTGGATGGCTCCATGCAGATCTCAGGAGGCAGACCAGATGAGGGAGGCTGAGGGCACAGGCCAGTGCCAGGCCCAGGGACCACAGAGGGACTCGTCTTCTCTCCACTGGACCACACATTGAGGTGTGGACACAGAGCTTGCTCCGCGAGCAGTCAGGGCACCATCGAAGCAACTTCTCAAGGGGAAACGGGTTGTTTGCACCGGGAGCTCATCTCTGATGTCTATAAATGGAGTCTCTGTGGAGTCAGAGAATTCAAAGGCCACATGGTGATGAAAGAGACATCGGTGCTAAAGATGCAGAGCAGGAAAACCAGTCCCTCCATGGCTGCCTTCAGACAAGGACATAGCCAGCAGGCCCAGCTAGGACACAGCCCGCCATCCTCGGTGCTGTGGGATGTGCTGCCTCACCAAGCAAAGAGATGTGAGTGGTCCACGCTGGCTCGGAGGAGAATTTTACCACTGACTTCAGCTAGAATTGCTAGCACCAAATGAAGACTTTCAGTGGGTGGTAATACTGTTTTAAAATTCCCTAGGGGCACCTGGGTGGCTCACTTGGGTTAAGTGTCCAACTTCGGCTCAGGTCATGATCTCACAGTTTGTGGGTTCGAGCCCCGCATCCGGCTCTGTGCTGACAGCTCAGAGCCTGGAGCTGCTTCAGATTCTGTGTCTCCTTCTCTCTCTGCCCCTCCCCCACTCATACTGTCTCTATCTCTGTCTCTCAAAAATAAATAAACATTAAAAAACTTTAAATTCCCCAGACAAGGATATCTGGGTGCCTCAGTCGGGTAAGCCCTGCTTCTCTCTCTCTCTCTCTCTTACTCTCTGCCCATGGCTCGCTTGCACCCCTTGTCTTTTAAAATTTTTTAAATGAATAAAAGTCCTGAGGCAACGTAGCTCTTTTGCCTCCACCTAAGCACCTGTGCCCACTGCCGCACTCCACCCAGTGGGCCAGTGCTGGGGAATATTCTGGACTTTTTCAGGGCTTCTGGTCAGTAGCTCCCATTTCACTCTTGTGCCGAGTGCACCTTGCAATGAGTTTAGCAAGCACCTCTCATCCTGATAGATCACGGGTTGGAAAACCGATGTGAAAGCCCCGGGGCTGTTGCTGAAATGCAGATTGCACGTGTGTGCGGTGGGATTCTCTGTCAGCACGCTCGCAGGCGCTTCCAAAGCCCTTTGAGAATCAGGGGTCTAAACCACGTATTCTGTGTCTTGCCACTTTAATGCATGTTGACCTTCCCCCGCCCCGCCCAGTTATAGGAAAATAGAAGACCTTTCTAGAAGAGAGTTACAGGTATCGAATCGTTTTCATTGCTGTCTTCTCGAGCACCTGTTTTTCCTGTCATTCCTAAGGCCTAAGGCGTAAGTGTTGGTAGGCAAAGCGGGCTCGCAGGCGGCCTCCTCATTGCCTCTTGTTCTGGTCTCCTGATTATTTTTTTTCTCTTTTAAAGTAGAGCACCGCTTTCCTCTTCCTTCCACAGCATCATGGTCCTGCTTTCCTGTTACCATAGAAACCATTCTGGCTTCTCTCCCCTCCCTTCCCCTCCCGTCCCATGGTATTTCTTAATTTGCTACCATTCCACTGCTGTCGTGGGGGCAGAATGACCGCTTATTTAACTGGCGTCTCCTCTCAAATGGCAGCTCAGAAATCCAACCTAATGGGACCCAGCTTGGAGCACTGATGAGGAACAGCGGAGCAAATGCGGGCTCTGGCCACTCCAAATTGGCATCTCTTTAAGCCTCATCTTCCAGCACATTTCCCCAGTATAGAAATTCATTCACTGAAGGACAAATCAGGCCTCTTAAACCAATTCACACACACACAAGAGGAACCCACCAGAGCTGTGTGAACTTTTTTTTTAGGTTATTGAGAAAATAGAAGTCATTCTCTGGCTTCTCAGGGCGCGCTTTCTGAAGGCTTCCCTGAGCCTCACACGCATGCCTGCCTCATCCCAGCCGTGAACAGGTGTAAGATTCAGAGCTGGTGGCTTTTGTCTGAAGCTGGGATTCTGTGTGCTCCGGTCTTTGGGCATACTTCCTTCTGGTTCCAACAAACCCCTGGTCTCCTGGTGTGTGATGGTGGGGGGCGGGGAGGAGGGGCCCCAGCCCCCGGATGCCCTGCGTGGGCCTGCAACCCTCCCCAGTGCCCGCCCACACGAGCCTTGGCACTCTGCGAGTGGTCCGTAAATAGTGACTAGTTAAGTGCATGAGAAGGAGGAGCCACTGGAGGGAGAGAGAAACGCAGCTGACCTTGAGCAACAGGGGTTTGAATTACACGGGCTCATTTATCACAGGTGTTTTTCAATAACGGCACAGTACTGGAATGTATTTTCTCTTTCTTGTGATTTTCCTAATAACCTTTCCTTTTTCTCTTGCTTCCTTTGTTGTAACAACACAGTGTATAATAACGTATACAAAATACACGTTGTTAATGTGATCGGTAAGGCTTCTGGTCACAGTAGGCTGTTAGTCGTTAAGTTTCAGGAGACTCAAAAGTTATACGTGAATTTTCAACTACACAGCTTTGGGGGGAAGGTCAGCACCCCTGACCCCTGCGTTGTTCAAAGGTTAACTGCGCATTAATATCTGAGCACCACCCTCTTGAAAGACACCTATTTTTTATTTTAGGAATAGGTGTGGTTTTTTTATTAATATTTTTCAAATGTTTATTTTGAGAGAGAGAGAGGGAATAAGTGGGTGAGGGGCAGAGAGCAGGCGAGAATCCCAAGCAGGATCTGCGCTGTCCGCATAGAGCCCGAGGTGGGGCTCCATCTCACCAACTGTGAGATCATGACCTGAGCAGAAACGGGTGTTTTTAAGCATAATGGTCGAGACGTGGTGCTGTTGGCAGATTCGCTGAGGAGAGAGGGATGCGTGGAAAGCAGAAAACTCAGAACTAGCGCTGGTGGGGAGCTCCAGGTGCCACCCACTGCTTGTCCGGGTGATGAGGAGACACAGGTGGAGGAAGGGAGGGGCGGAGCGTCGAGGACACCCGGCGGCAGAGCGGAACACGGCTTTGACGCAGCCGAGCGCTGGGGGTCCCTGTGCGCATGGGCAGCGGGCCTGCCTTGTGCGGGAGGCCGGTCCCTGGCGGACTCTTCCCCGGGGAGAACTGTGCTCTGCTCACCTGCTGCTCCCCTTCGACATCCTCGCTTTGTGAACCAGAGAAGTTGCCCAGAGATCTTCCAGAAACCACAGAGAGTGGCCGGCGAAGGCTGCCTGTGTGTGTGCACCGAGTCACCGTGGCCCAGATGGCAGCCCCTGGGAGGCTCTGATCCCGCAGAAAACAGAGCGGTTCAGAACGCCCAGGGGACGGGTAGAGATGCTGCAGGTGGGGAGTTAAAATGAGCCCCATCAAAACGCAGACACTGAGAGGACCAACTGCAATCCGTCCAAGGCAGCGGGAAGCCAGGCGTCAGGAGCCCTGGACTCAGCCAGGTGGGAAGGCAAGCTGAAAGCAGGGCCCCACGCAAGGCCAGGATAGCCGATTTGGTGGCACCGATTCATTCTTTTATTGCTCTGCCTGGTTTCTTTGTTGAGCAACCCTTCCTTCCTCATGAATGATACACGCTTTCCCGCTGTCTGTATGGGGATCGTGGTGTAGGCAAAATGCTTGGTTTTGAAAACAGAACAGATGTGGGGTTGGATCCCGCTGCGGGTGAACTCTGAGCCTCAGTTTCCTCTTCTGTAAAATGGACATAGTTAGAGCTGCAGTTTGTCAAGGAGACTGAAAGAGACAGCTCCCGTGGGTGGCCAGAGTCCGTGCTCAGTCACAGGTGGCTCATCGTCAGGACGGGTTTTGATGGACCGCGAGGGTAGGGTGCCGACACAGAGTGGCTGAGTGGTCAGCAGGTCCCCCAGGTCTCCCATAAGCCCTGTGCTCTCACAGAGCACACTGGCCACAGGGGTGAGAGGCAGATGAGCTCTTGGGCCTTGAGTTGGTACATTCTAGCATCAGGTTGTCCCTGCTTGGGCACTGTCAGCCTATACGTGGGTCTGCTTCGTGAGTCTGAGAAATAACAGAAGGTTCCTTGGGACTCCCTGGGACTCCATTGGCCTTCAGTGCTGTCTGCTTAGATCTGCCCGCCTCTCTGGTCACCATATCCACCCTGCTCCATTCACGTTTCAGGGCTTGAAGAACCAGCCCCGGGTGAAGCTGAACATCGTGAGGTGCCCTCCAGTGACCACCGTATTGATCAGGAGACCCGACCTTCGCTACCAGCTGGGTTTCAGTGTCCAGAATGGAATCGTAAGTAGGGCTCCACACTGTATTCCAAACATCTGACAAATTAAACCGTGGCACGGTCTTCATTTTTTAATTTTTATTTTTAACTTCTTTAACATTTATTTTCGAGAGAGAGACAGAGCATGAGCAGGAGAGGGGCACAGAGCGAGAGGGAGACACAGAATCTGAAGCAGGCTCCAGGCTCTGAGCTGTCAGCACAGAGCCTGACGCAGGGCTCAAACTCCCAAACCACAAAATCATGATCTGAGCTGAAGTCAGAGGCTTAACTGACTGAGCCACCCGGGTGCCCCAAGTTTTATTTTTGTAAAGCCACTCATTTCCCTGAGCCAACTCAGCAAGGATAGGGAGGAGTGGGTGAGGGCTGGCCCCGCTTACCTCTGGGGACCGAGAATCCTGTGCCCTTGCACAGGAGAAGACAAAGGTAGCTCCCGGAGCCCTGGCCCCGAATCTCTTTGTGATGGTACCAGGGTCAGCCTCCCAGCTGCCAACTCAAGGTAGTCTGGGATGTGCCACCAAGAGGGTCCTTCCCCTCCGGCCCCAGGGGCTACATGCGTCAGCCCCTGTAGAGCCGCTCAGCCCCCCACCTGGGGTGTGCAGCGCCAGGGCTGGACTGGGCGGGCTCCCCGGTGATTGTAGGACATAGCGCAGGCAGAGAGCCCGGCCCCCACGGCTGTGATGATGAATGTCCTCTGCCTTGTCTTTTTATTTTTTCTTAACGTTTATTCACTTTTGAGAGAGAGAAAATGAATGAGGAGGGGAGGAGCTGAGAAAGAGAGGGAGACACAGAATCTGAAGCAGGCTTCAGGCTCTGAGCTGTCAGCAAAGAGCCCAACGTGGGGCTTGAACCCACAAACAGTGAGATCATGATCTGAGCCGAAGTCGGGTGCTCCACCTACTGAGCCACCCAGGTGCCCCTCTGCCTTGCCCTTTTAGCCTGAATTGCACTGTAGGGATGAAGAGTATTTTCATCACTTGGATGTCTGCCTTGAAACAATACTTCCTTCTTTGTTGCAGTAAAATTTACACAGCGTTAAATTTACCATTTCAACCATTTTTTAAAAAATGTTTATTTTTGAAAGAGAGCCAGAGGGGTAGGAGTAGAGGGAATGGGGAACAGAGGATCTGGAGCAGGCTCCATGCTGACCGCACAGAGCCTGACACAGGGCTCGAACCCACGAACCGTGAAATCATGACCTGAGGCAAAGTCGGATGCTTAACCGACTGAGCCACCCAGGCGTCTCCATTTAAACTATTTTTAAGCATACAGTTGTGTGGCATTAAGTGCATTCACAGAGTAGTTACAACCATCACCACTAGCTCTTTCTAGAACTTTTTCATCCCAAACCGAAACTCCACACTTAGTATTACTCCCTTTTCTGTCCTAGTTTGCCTTGTTCTGGACTCAGCAATTGTGGGCTGTGATGACGGTCCTGTTCTTTGTCTGCGACCTTGAATTTTTAGGTTTAGGATGTGCCCTCCCTCTCTTTCCCTTTATCTTCCCAGATTGAAGAACCCTATGCTTTTCCCCCTTGAACATCTTAATTAAGAGGGGTGGGTTTTTCCAATTTTATTCCAAGTCTGTTTCAAGGTTTAGAAATACCATTGAAGTTCCCAGTTGGAATGGAAACATCCAGCCCCTTCATCTGTCCCTGGGACCTTGGCGGCCTCATTTCCCTCCTAGGAAGGGGGCCAGGGTTGTTACTTACATTTCGGCAGATGCCTGTTTTTATCTGCCGACATTTTCTTGTTTGCATTGTCCATGTTCAAATGATTTTAAAATTATTCGGATATGAACAAAGAGTTGTTGCGGAACAGCGGTGGGTCCCTCGGTGTTGTTTCGAGCTTGGAAGGAACCTCAGGAGCGTCCTGACCCCAGGGTGCCTGGGGCGGAGGGCGCCACGGGGTCCACATACTCAGACCCAGCTAGCGCGTTGCCACACGATGCCGCGCTTTTGTCCGCGTGGGCTTAGAAGGCACACGATCTGGTGTGAAATGCCATCTTTGTGAATTCAGAACGTACTGTTTTGGAGAAAGGCTAATGCTGTGTGTGAAGTCGGGGTGGCCTTACGCTGCAGGGCTGAGCCCGAGCCCTCCACGCTCCGAGAGCTCACGGCCACCGGCCGGCGGCTTCTGCACTCCCCGATGCCCAGCTGCACAGGGACGAAACCCAGCCCCGTTGTCCTTTCCGGGGGGAGTGAGTTTGAGCATGGGCTGCTGAGTGGAGAGGGTCGAAAGGAGCCAGTCCCGGCCGGCCACACTTGGGGAACCCCAAGGGGGGTGTGCCTCACATAACTGTGACCCTGAAAAGCAGGCTGCGGATCGTAGAGTTGGATGTCTGGGTCCCAGCGGCGGATGTGGGCATCCTATTCGCCTGTGTTACATGGGCTGAGAGTTTGAAACTGTTGAACTTGGTGACAGTCCGCAACAGCTCTGTGCCCCGGGGCCCGGCTGGGATGACAGGCAGTCAGAACTCCGTGTGCGTGACATCTCGTGAGGTGCTCCATCCCCTGTGCGGCCCTCTGTGCCCCCGGGCCCTGGCTCTTGCGAAAAGCAAGCAAGAGATTGAAATGCCCCCAAGTGACCTTGGAGACCGCTGGGCAGGGGGTCCAGGAAAGACGGTCCCGTCTCCACCCCGCTCCCCAGCACGCGGCCCTGCCATGTGGGGTAAGCATGTGGCCTTGGGCTCCGACAGATCTGCAGCCTCATGCGAGGGGGCATAGCCGAAAGGGGTGGCGTCCGCGTGGGACATCGGATCATTGAGATCAACGGGCAGAGCGTGGTGGCCACACCGCACGAGAAGATCGTCCACATCCTCTCCAATGCGGTGGGGGAGGTAGGAAGGGCACGGGGGCAGGGTGGGGGGGCTCCGGTGACCCCGGCCTCGTCGGTGGGGGAGGTAGGGGCGCTGGGGCAGGGCGGGGGGGCCCCCGGTGACCCCGGCCTCGTCGGTGGGGGAGGTAGGAGGGGTGCTGGGGCAGGGCCGGGGTGGGGGGGACCCGGCGACCCCAGCCTCATGCTCGCAGCCAAAACCCTGCTCGACGAGCAGAACCGTCATGCTCAGGCCCGGCGTCGCCTAGCGGCCGAGCAGCTCCTGGAAACAGCACCCAGTCTCCTCTGCATTATTTGCTCCCCTTTTCTTTCCAACTGTGACGCATTCGTGTGGCTCCCCCCCCACCCCACCCCGGCCGCCCAAGTTCTGTCCATTTTTCCAGTTAATGTCACCACAGGCGCCGGGACGTGGAAGTCTCGGACTGAAGTCTGATAGATGGAGCGGCGTCCGGGGGCGTCTCTGGTCCAGCCGCCCCTGGTGGCCACGGCTGCCCAGGGCCCGCCTCCTGCCCCGCTCGGGGAGGAGGAGGCAGGAGCCGGCCCATCCTGCGGCCACTCTACTTAGGTTTTAAGGGGTCTGCGCCTTCTGCATTGGCTGGGAAAACAAAGCTTCCCCGGTTTTCACTGCCCCCCCCACCCCCCCAGCCCCACATGGTTTAGAAAGCCGGTGGATTCCTCTCTTGCTGGAGGCCTCCGAGGTCAGGTCCCTGGGGATGGTGGGGGGAGCTATTCAACCCCCCAGCCGTGGTTAGAGGTGCTTCCCCCCACAATGGGGGGCCATGCCCACACCCACAGGGCAGTGGGGGGCCACACACACACCCCCGCAGCCTCCGGCCCACTGACGCACGCTCCTGCCCTCAGATCCACATGAAGACGATGCCGGCCGCCATGTACAGACTGCTAACAGCCCAGGAGCAGCCCGTTTACATCTGAGGCCGCGCCCGCCTGCCTGGCGGCTTGCATGGAGGACTGTCCTCACTCGTGGTGTGTTTCTCGTGCTGCATCTGTGTGCCCACTGAGACTTTCCCTCTCACACCCAGCACCGGTTCTACACGGGAGGAGGAGAATCCACAGATTTCGTTGCTCGCTGTCTCCAGTTTGCATTTTTTTTTTTAATGCCCGGAAAGTTTTGTACGCACGCCCTTGAGGATAGAGAGCAGCCAGTCCCCACCAGGTATCGGCCCAGAGTGTCCTGAAGGGGCCCCTGGGGGTCCCGGGGAGCACCTTCCCTGCTCAGGGGGAGCCCTCCCCTCTCCCACGAGGTGCTCCTGGGGGCAGTGAAGGGGCGGAGTCAGCAGGGCCTACAGTCCAGCCGCTGGCCTTGGCTCTTGGGTCAGTGTACGGGAATACAGTCTGTCCGCGGAGACCAGCTCTGTCGTTAAGGGTTTGCTCTGCCCACCACGGTGGACTCGGGGCGCCACACATCTCCACCCAGAATTTCTGAGCCAACCTTATGCCTCTTCTACAGCTACTTTTAGTTTTGACATAATTGTGTTCTCAAATGTGAGCCTTCTCACCCTAGAAGGGAGACTGCCGTGGACCGGGGCGCCATCTTGGTGCAGAGAGCTCAGCAGGTCGGGGGGCAGCCCAGCTTCCTCAGGCTGTGCCAAGGTCACCATCCATCAGATAGACGTGGGCAGGTCATTCCTTCCTCCCTCTCTGCCACACACGTACGTATACAGTCTCGCTTGTGTATGGAGGGCTCTCGCCTCCTCCCACCACCAGTGAGACACACAGAGCCCCTGGAGAACCCACATCACCTCCCTACGAGGCCCCTTCCCCTGGCATGTGAGGCCCCCAGGGGCCGCTCAGCCCTGTCCAGAGAGAGACGCCCCCTCTGTGCCTGACGCCTGGCCCCACCAGCACCGCCTTGGCTCAGAGTCCCAGTGGACTCCCTTCGTGCCCCCACTCCGCACCCGCCCTGGGGGGTCTTGGAAGACGGACTGCTCCCCTCGTGGAGGACCCAGATGCAGTGGGGTCATGCTTCCTGGCCCGAGGTAAGATCAGCTGTCCTCTCTGCTCAGGGCCACACAGCAGGATGTGCCATTGGAGAGGCCAGGATAGTAACAAACCACAAAACCCAGGGGACAAGAATGACCTCACACGATGCCTAAGCAGCCCCGGGTGTGTTCTGACGACGTCAGCTTGCTGCCTGGTGGGCCTGAGGGCACGGGCATTGGGGGCGGGGGGGTGCCGTGTTCTCCGCAGGTGCCTCACCTTGTGGGTTGTCTCAGTTTGTGCGTTGTTTCCGTGATCCTATTCTGAGCCAGTTTTCACTTACTCTTGGTCCAAAGAGCATTTTGTTTTCATGTAGGTGGCTGTGGGTTGGTTTGGGTTTATTTGTTTCGTTCTGTTTCTGACCTCAGCAGAGACGGGGGAAGAGAAACTGATATATTTTGTAATATTAATAGAGCCCCTGCTCTCTGCACCTGGGATATTTATGTTGTGTCTGTGGAAATAGGAATTCGGGGAGCACATGTTGGCTGCTATGCATTTATTTGTGGGATGGAGGGATCTCGGGGAGGGAGACACGTGAATATATAAAATAGGAACACGAGGCTGTTACCAGACGACGGTGCGGTACCCCCGGAAAGCCGCAAGTCCCGTATGCATCGGTGCTGCCCGTCCATCTGTAGTAGGAGCCCTCGTAAAGAAGGGGCCGCGCCCAGTCCAGGGGAGCCAGGCGGGACCCCTGGGCTGCTTCTGAGGCCCAGCCCCACCTGTGGCCTACCACACAGCCAGAATCATGGCCCCCGGTTCTCAGTTTACCAGACTGTAGCGTGTCACAATGTAGTCAGGTACTCAAAAGTCACGTGTCCATCTTTCCTCTGCCAAAAAGAGTGGGTAAAAGAGGAACAAAGCCTTACTGGCAGTACTGGAGGCGTCAGGAGACTGGGAAGGTCACGGGAGGGGTTGGTGGCTGCCTGGTCCCAGGGTGACCGCTCAGAGAGCCTGCCCAAGGCCTGTCCCACGGGGCCAGCAGACTGGAACTCCACTCGCACATCCCTGTGTAGCCTGCCAGTAATTACAGTTAAGTATCTTCACCCAAAGGAGAGGGGAGAGAGAAAACCTAGGTTCTGCTATGGCACCCAAGTCTTGGAACGTTGGGCCAGTGCTGGAGAAACGAATTTAGGAAGTACTCCTGGAACACCAACATGGTGTAGGAGGATGAGGTTACTGCTCCACCACATATACCTCGTGGTACCCAAAGGGGCTCTTCACACCCAGAGAGCGCATGTTCCCGGAGTTCCCTACAGGTGCACCGGGCTCCAGTGTGTTCTGGGCCTGGCTCCCGTCCGACGCAGGGAGTTGAGATCCCTCCCCCTTGGTTAATCAAAGGTGGCTTAAGTGTTAGTAACTCGGTTTTTGAAACCCCCATGGGACACGGTGGTTTCCTGACATCCCAGTATGTATAGTTACATATGTAAATATCCGCCTACCCCCTGGGATGGGGAGCACTATGTACAGAGCAGCCTTCCCAAACAGGACCCAGGCACAAAGCCACTCTTGCTGCTTGGCTGGGACATGATGGTGACTCAGCTGCAGGGACAGAGTCTCACATTCGGCTACCCCTCCTGGTCCAGCCAGGATGCACTGGAACACATCCTGCCTCTGCCTTCTCACGTGGGAGCACTTCAGGGAGCCACCATCAGCCTTGGGCTCACGAGAGGAGGGAACCCCCCGAGACCAAGGCCTGGAGTCCACTCCCTCACCAGAGCGGGCTCCTCGGGGGCTGCAGCCCACCACGGGCCACCGGACACCGAACCTCTGCCCATCAGCACCGGCCTCAGAGAGTCCCAGAGTCAACGACTACCTCCCCCATCGCTCCTGCCCACCCCCCCAGGCCCCCATCCGCACCCAGCGTCTCCATCTGCGCGCTGCCGAAAACCCATCCACGAGCCCCTTCTTGGGTCCCTCGACCCAGCGGTGTGGCTGTTACCAATGTTTACAACCAAGGGCCACCTCCTTCTAGATATGTTTACTCTCCCACTTACAAGGCCGCTGGCTGGTTTGAGCTTCGTGTCTGTCCCCGCCTTCCCTGGTTTGGGCCGTCTGGAGCACACGACCGGATTCTTCGCCCCTCCTCCATCACGGCACTGCGTGAGGACCACGTGGGAAGGAAATTCCTTGTACATATCCAGCACAGCCCCTAGAGTCTGAACTTGTACTACTGTCCTGTAAAGAGGGTGAAATAGAGCTTATTGTAAAGCTTGGGACAAGTAGAGTATGTATTTGTAACAATATCGTTCTTTGTATACGCAAAACTCAATGATCTCTATATATAAATATAAATTATATAAATAAAATATATATACACGTGAGCCTGGAATGTTGGCACCACACACCCACTGAATGTACTTCCTGACAGTCTGGTCACCGGCCCGGCCCTCCCTTTCCTCTGTACCGTTTTGGGGGTTGTGATGTATTTAATGTGTTCTCTTCCTTTATTTAACTGAACGCTAATGTCTGTAAGAGTCGCTGCAACAATAAACAAGAACTTCACCTCTTGGCTCAGTGTCCTGTTGTTTCGGGAGAGGGACGGGGTGCCAGGTAAGGGAAGATGCCGTCTTGCTCACTGCAGGCCCCACCTGGCCTTCCTGCTGGCCCAGCACCAGGTGAACCTACTGTGGCGCCTCTCAGCAAGCCCCGTGGAAGTGCGTGGTCCCCCAGGGGATGACGGTCCCCTGTGGGTGTGTCTGTACCCACGGGTGGCACCTCACACTGGCCCCTCTCTGCATGCTCTCCGCCACAGTTCCAGAACTAGAGAAGAAAATTCCACTCACCCGTCCCGCCACACACCGATCCTTTTAGTCTCTTCTCTAGAATTGCTGTGATCCTCCAGGCTGGCTTCCTCATCTGCCAAAGGGCGTCTATCTCACGGGGACCACGTCAGGGTCAGCTAACGCCTTCAGAGCCTGTGGAATCACATTGCTGGCGGAAGGGCTCAGAAAGTGCAGGCTGCTCTCCCCCGGGCCCCGCGGACACAGGTGTGCTTAAGCTGCCTGGGGCTCTGTATTCCCCTGGAGCCACAGCCACAGCTCAAGAAGGTCCTGGAGAGGGGCGCCTGAGTGGCTTACTTGGTTAAGCGTCCAACTTTCGCTCAGGTCATGATCTCGCAGTTCGTGGGTTCGAGCCCCGCGTCGGGCTCTGTGCTGACTGCCAGCTCGGAGCCTGGAGCCTGTTTCAGTCTGTGACTCCCTCTCTCTCTGACCCTCCCCTGCTCACGCTGTCTCTCTCTCTCTCTCTCTCTCTCTCTCCTAGAAATA